TTTATATATATTCTCTGATAGCATGCAGCAGTTTATATATATATATATATATAATTATTATTATTATTACCAGATAAGAGATATCATTTCCTATTATATTCAGCATTGCAAAGTATTTCTAAATGAAAACACGTTTTTCTATGTGCTGTTTTTGGAGTGGGGTCTTGCTTTCTGTAACTGGGAGGCTGTATGTAGTGTGACGTGTTGTTCTAATGCAGGGGATGTCTAAAAATCACTGCTGTATTTTAGCATACAAAGCACTATTGCACTATTAATTATTATTCTGAAAATGCATCTCTTCAGTAGGCAGATCTCAGCTTGGCTGTTGCTGCTCTGTTATCAGTCCTGAAGCTCATTCTTCAGCTCTGATCAAAAGGAGCTGGCAGAGATCCCGTGTTGTGATTAATTCCTCACTAGCATCTCTCCTCACCGCTTCGTGGTGGGGGTGGTTTTCTTTCAGCAATTGTACAGTGAACCAGTCATCTGCCTGTGTGTGGCAGAGCAGGTTACTATTTGGGCTACTATTGCTTTTATTTACTAGGTTGTTTTTCTTCTTTGTGATTGTATGTGATTGGATCAACTTCCTATATCAGTTGTGTAACATTAGGACTCTAAAAAGAAGAACAGTCTATCCGTGAATAGCCTAACCTTAAATCTTTGCATGGTTACAGGTTTATTTTTTATATATATTCTCTGATAGCATGCAGCAGTTTATATATATATATATATATAATTATTATTATTATTACCAGATAAGAGATATCTGCAGTCTTTGGTCAGAAGACTTCAGCTGTTAAAAGCCTCATTGATTTTTAACCGTAACAACTTTTTGATGACAACTGTGAGATTTTCTGTTTCTGCTTAGCTGCCTGTAATTGTACTTCGTACCTGCTGGGGCAGCTTTGTGCCTGCCATTCTGTAGTGATTCCACACCAGCTAAGGTGGAGGACTTCACTCTGTTGAAAACAGGGGAGTTATTACTGTTGTCATTGAGAGCAGATTTTTGGACCAGAAACTGAGAACTGGATTTCCAAGCTGTCCTGCTAATTGTTTGCTGCTTTTGTCTGAAATGGGTAAATTGTATTGATTCATTTTGAGTGCTCCTGATTGCTCTGGGTTCAGGTATGTTGGCTTAACTACTTGTAAGGAAATAGAATTCTGGAGGGAGACCTGGGAACAAAAAAAGTCTCAAGTTGATTTTCTTCTGTATGAATGGTTCCATTCAGCTGTGTGGGGGAAATATCAGTGCCACTTACTATATCTGTGCAGGAATGTTTCTGTGACATGTCTGTCTTAGTGTTGCTGTAGCTCTCTCCTAATAGTAGAAGTGTCAAATAGAGCACTATTGTTACTACTGCAAGATTGCATAACTTTGCTAAGAGCTAATCTAGACATAAAGAGGTAAAAATACAATTCCTCTACAGTTACTGATTTAGGGAACTACTGGGGATAATGTGCAGGCAGATGTTACTACAAAAACCCAAGACACAAGAGGACTCTGCCAACTGTACCGACAGCACAGGCTGGAGGAGGAAGACACTATTTTAACAAGCAGCCCATATTGATATACATCTTTTCCAAAAGAACTTTTCTGGCAAAAAGACTTTCTGGGTTTCCCTTGTATTTATTGAACTATGGTTTCTGCTGAAGCTGTGGTTATCCCCTTGCCAAACTTCTATGTTGTAATGCAGTGTTTTCCCTTCTCTGTGCCGTGCTCTGAGTTCAATGCTGAGAATCACCCTCAGGAAGAGGATTTTGGCTGGGAGCATCACAAGGGTTGATTATTAACATTGCCAGTTGTTACCTGGTCAGGCAGAAATACACAGTAAACAAGTTGCAAACATGGCTATGTTCATAGCAGTGGTGAGGAAAAGATTCCTTGTTTGGAGATTTCAAGCCCTGCTTGCAAGCTTTGGTGTGGACAGGATCTACCATTTAGTGAGACTTACTGACATTTGGTGGGAATATGATTTCATGTCAAGAATACCTGTCTGCAGTCCTAGAGATTTCTTGGTCAATACTGTAGCTATCTGGGAGGTTTTTTGCTTATTTCCATCAGCTCTCCCAAAAGTATTTTCACAAATGGAAGTAACGTGGGAAAACTCCTCTTGAGTTGAACATCTCAGCATTTCTGAATATGTATTTTATCTGAATTCTCAAAACATTTTGACACAACTTAATTTCCCTTTCCAAAAGAAACTACAACTTCATCTTCAAAAGTCATGAACTCTCCCTTCCCCCTCCTGAACTTCCAAATAGGAAGAGGAAACAAATGATGGGCTGACAATATGACTGCTTACCCATGGAGCACAATCTCCATGGAAACAGACTGTCCTAGAATAGCTCAATCACATGAGGGTTACATGACATGAATAAAGTAGCCAGAAAACTGGACAATATCTTAGAACTGGAGATACTTGCACTTAATTCATTACCCCCTGGTCTTTGGAGAATAGCTAATAAACAAAGCTAATATCAAAGCCAATATAATAATTTGTCAGTGATAGGATAGTGGAAAATCAACATGATCCTGACTTAAGGGCTCTTCATTGTATGCAGTTCAGGAAGCATTTTGAATTTTGAATTCTTTTCCACATGGCCTCCTGCTTCTTGAAATTGGTACCAGTGGTTTGTAGTATTGCCTTCATAAATCCTAGTGGATTTCCTCCTTTTGTGTCAGCAGGCACTGACCATTTTACACTTTTTACGATATTTTTGATATTTCAAAGAGTAAATGCACTAGTTAAAGTAGAGACTACTTGTGCATAGAAAGAATTGCAAAATTGCCTTCAGAATGTTTTCTTCTAGTTAATCATGTACTCACAGGGCAAGGAGATTCATTGAGTGTAACCACATTCAATAAAAAAATGAATATATTTCACTGATGATTAGTTTTCTGTCTGTACAGTCAGTGTTTTTAAAGTGAATGTTGTGACAGAGTAATTGAAAAACCTGTTTTACAACTCAGATATAAAAAAAGTAAATATTCTACCAATTCACCAAAAAGTAAATTACAGCTAAGTAGGAAAAAAAAAATAATAAAAAAAAACATTAGTCATTAGCTGCAGGTCATTGCATCATAAGAATATTTTAGCCCTTTGACCAGTGTGAGGATACCGTCATTTCTGTGGGCAGGCAAAGATCATTGATTACACTTTTCATGTTTGTCCAGTCTCGGATCAGATTATTGTCACAGCTTCCACTTCTGAGACAAAGTTTTGTAATAAGCTTTTTTGTCTGTTGTACGAACAAAGACCAGAAAGCCTTTACTCATTTATATTAGCACACTTGCTGTCTTGGTGCCTCTAATATGAAATGGCATAATTTCTATCATCTGTCTCCTGCCAGAGGCCAAAACCAGTTATTGGTCATTACTCAGTGAAGGGGGAATGAACATTAGTTTGAAGATTGAGATCCTCAGGATTTAAATTTGATCATTACAGGACTGTAATGCACAGAAAGAAAATCCATAGCTCTCAGCTGTGAGAGACTCTATAGTTTTGGACAGTCTCAGAAAATAATTTTTGTATTGTTATGACTGTTCATGCTCAGTAGAACAACACTGCACCACTACATTAAGTCATTTTCAGCTCTCATTAAAGTTTTTGATGTTTTCATTAAATGCATTTCTCATTTCTGCAATACCTTTAGGTGCGTAATAATTTAGGACTGTTTGTCTAACTTACAAAAGAGCTACCAATAGTTTCTCTTCTTCTCACTTAAACAGGTCACATGAGCTATGTGACTAACATTACAGCCTGTTTATATGGTTCTTTTCTTCCATATGGCCATTCCATACAAGTGGAAGGCTAATTCTGAATGTTTCTACCCAGGAATGTTGCTCACATTGATGAACCTAATCCTGCTGGAACCCGCAGCACTAACTCTGGAAGTGAAGGTTAACAGCCTCAGGTTTCACAGCTGGTGCACACACTGTTCACTGCAGACTGCCCCAACAGGGCACCTATTGCTGGGGCAGAATGGTCATTTCAAGGTTACATTTTTAACAGTCTCCTTTGCCCTGCTTTGCTTAATAAAAGCAAATGCCATAACAGATAACATTTTTAACATACCTAACCCTGTTCTTCCTAAAACTAAGTTGGAATTCATCCATGCTTTTGGTCCTGATGGTTGAGTGGGATGTGTTGTGTTCCTAGAGAGTTTACCATTGTTCACTCTTCACTGGGGAAAGTGATGCTCTGTTTTTTGTTGTTTGTTTCCTTTGAATGGCTTTTGACTTGCTAAGAAACACAATGAGTCATTCATTTTTGATTAGCTGATTGATGACAGTGCATGTGTGCACCATTGTTACAGAATATGGCATTTCTCTAGCCAGCCATTGCCATTTGCAAATGCAATCTAATACCTGGGCTTTGGAAGGGGATGAAAGGAGGGAATATTTTAACTGCCTATTGATTGAGCATGAAAACAAGATTTTCCTTTTTTTTTTTTTTTTTTTTTTTTTTTTTTTTTTTTTTTTTAAAGAATGGGAAAAAAAAAAGCACAATGTTTATTTTCCTGGGACTGCTCCATCCTTTAAAAAATATTAAAAAGAATGTGCTTTTGTCTCTGCCTTTATTCCAGTAAAAGGAGCAAGGCTGTGAAATGGTCCAATTCCCATACAACTTATATTTGCATCAGGGCTAGTGCAGTTTACACATACTTAAAGCACCCGAATTTGAAAACTACCATAGATAATGTATTATTTTGCAACAGGATACATAATTTCTTCTGTGTGTGCTGTGGGATATTTGCAGGGGCAGTGTTTGGAAACATGTTTTTGATCTGTGCAAACAGAATGAGTCAGTTTGCATTCTGAGCACAAGAGGCAAAAGCAGCTCACTGGGAGGGCAGCAAAGGGGGCAGGGGTAGGCTATGCCAGCTGCAAGTCCAGAGCAAAAAGCCAGTAAACATGGGCTACAGGAACAAGCTGTGCTTCAAATTGCTGTGAAATCCTCCAAAGCTAAACAAACAAATATTTTGTTGTCTCAGACAGAAAAATGAAAACCTACCCAGCCATTGGTTTCTTCCTCCTCTTCGTGATCAGCTATGGCTCCTCTGAAAACTCAAGTACATCCAGAGGGTGTGGACTGGATCTCCTCCCTCAGTACGTGTACCTGTGTGACCTGGATGCCATCTGGGGAATAGTGGTGGAGGCCGTTGCAGGGGCAGGTGTGCTAACAACATTACTGCTGATGCTGATTTTGCTGGTGAGGCTGCCCTTCATCAAGGACAAGGAGAAGAAGAGCCCCCTGGGAATGCACTTCCTCTTCCTTTTTGGGACTCTGGGACTGTTTGGGCTGACATTTGCTTTCATCATCCAAGAAGATGAAACGGTGTGCTCCACCCGAAGGTTTCTGTGGGGAGTTATCTTTGCTTTGTGCTTCTCATGCTTGCTAGCTCAAGCCTGGAGACTTCGTAGACTAGTTCGACATGGGAAGAGCCCCTCTGGCTGGCATCTAGCTGGTGTGGCAGTCTGCCTGATGCTCGTTCAGGTCATTATTGCAACTGAGTGGTTAATACTGACAATTGTCAGAGATAACAAGTTGGCCTGCAGCTACGAACCCATGGATTTTGCTATGGCTTTGATTTACGTGATGTTCCTGATGGTATTTGCCATGGGATTTTCTCTTTTCACTCTCTGTGGAAAGTTCAAGAAATGGAAGAAAAACGGAGTATGCCTCATTATAACCCTTTTTTTTTCCATTCTGATTTGGGTAGCCTGGATGACTATGTACCTCTTTGGTAATGCTGAGCTAAAGAGAAGAGACAAATGGAGTGATCCCACTCTTGCTATTGCACTGGTGTCCAGTGGTTGGGTGTTTATTATTTTTCATGCCATCCCGGAGGTCCACTGTACCATCCTTCCATCGCAGCAGGAAAATACTCCCAATTATTTTGATACTTCACAGCCAAGGATGCGTGAAACTGCATTTGAGGAAGACATACAGCTTCCTCGGAGCTACATGGAAAATAAAGCATTTTCAATGGATGAGCATAATGCAGGTAAGAATGTCTCAGGGAGGACTGTATTTTTCTGTAGTAACCAAGAAAATCATCTGCATGAGACATTTTTCAGGTGTCCCAAACAACAGTCATTACAAATGCCATGTTTTTCACACTATATATGGTTCCCTTTTACAGTTTTCATTAGGATATCACCTAATTGGGGAAAAAACATTTTAAAAATGTAATACAGAAAAGATATCTTTGGTTAAAATTATTCTTCTGCACGTTATTTTTTCATTGAAAAGCTGAACAGTTTCAAATGCAAAGCCAACACTGAAAATAATAATTAAAAAATCACTTTAGAAAAAATAGTCTCTATTTTAAAATAGTTTAAATGACATTTGTTGTCATTTTTGTAGTTAACAAAATTTAATATTAAATATTTTCCTAAAACCCAAGAAAAAATCAAGTAAGTGCTCTGTGTTACAAAATGCTCAGCCTTTTGAGCAGCAAAATAATAATAATAATAATTTATATTTCCATTAAAATGGGATTCAGTGCCACTTTCTATGACATTGTGGGGGGGAAAATGCCAAGAGGCGTATAGACAACTTCAAAGAGTCTTTGTTCTGACAGCTTTAACATCTGAACAGAGTATGCACAGACAGGTTTCCAGGTAGCGGTTGCTTTCCTTATCATAGATGTTTGGTGACACAGAACAAAGTGTGATGACACATTAAAATCTGCAATGAAAATAATTTTGAGTGATTATAGAAAGGACCAACAACAACTGCTCGCTTAAGAGATCCAGACCATTGCTGAACATGTAACCCTTTATCAGGGCTGCTTCTCTAACCAGCCGTGTTCTGTAGTGCAGGTTGAAGCCTGGTGCTGACCCACAGTTGGATAAAGGATGTCAGTACTAGTCAAACTGCTTTTTATTGACTGTAATTGAGAAGAGGACTTTGGATAGCCCAGCCAATAGTTGCCACGTTGCTTTGGCAGCTGCCAAAAGAAGGCTTGGGGCATGTTGTCCAGGCACTGCACCTTCCTATTCATCTTCATGTACCTTTGATTTCCTCTGGATTTCATGTTTCCTCTGGATATGGACCAGACATGGATGGAGGAAGATATGACTCTTGTTTGTCACGGTTTGTCAGGCCAGGAAGGCATTTTTCCTCCAACTATTTGAGCAGGAACTTCAATGTTCCTTTATAACTCCTTTAGCAGAAACTTTATACTACTAGTAGAAAAGCTTTGAAAAGAAAGGAGATAGGATCCTGTGATACCAAGTGCAATGGGAAAACAAACAAACAAAAATTTGCATGGATAAAAGAATGGTTCTTTATGACTAATGTTCCAGAGCAGCAAAGGCAGCTTCACAATGGACTGTAAAAGCACTCATCTTTTTCTATCCCCCAATTAATTACTTTCATAGTAAGACAACTGCAGTGACTTCAGTGGAACTATTTCTGACTAAGGCAGATCTAAGAACAAAACTGGATCTTTCACTCTCTATTACTCCCATTCATGCCTACATTTTAAAAAAGAACTGGAAGCTCCTTTTTGATCTCATCATTCAGTAATTAAGTTTTTTCAGCCTTTTGAGCAGAAAAATAATTATTATTATTATTTATATTTCCATTAAAATGGGATTCAGTGCCACTTTCTATGACATTGTGGGGGGGGAAATGCCAAGAGGCGTATAGACAACTTCAAAGAGTCTTTGTTCTGACAGCTTTAACATCTGAACAGAGTATGCACAGACAGGTTTCCAGGTAGCGGTTGCTTTCCTTATCATAGATGTTTGGTGACACAGAACAAAGTGTGATGACACATTAAAATCTGCAATGAAAATAATTTTGAGTGATTATAGAAAGGACCAACAACAACTGCTCGCTTAAGAGATCCAGACCATTGCTGAACATGTAACCCTTTATCAGGGCTGCTTCTCTAACCAGCCGTGTTCTGTAGTGCAGGTTGAAGCCTGGTGCTGACCCACAGTTGGATAAAGGATGTCAGTACTAGTCAAACTGCTTTTTATTGACTGTAATTGAGAAGAGGACTTTGGATAGCCCAGCCAATAGTTGCCACGTTGCTTTGGCAGCTGCCAAAAGAAGGCTTGGGGCATGTTGTCCAGGCACTGCACCTTCCTATTCATCTTCATGTACCTTTGATTTCCTCTGGATTTCATGTTTCCTCTGGATATGGACCAGACATGGATGGAGGAAGATATGACTCTTGTTTGTCACGGTTTGTCAGGCCAGGAAGGCATTTTTCCTCCAACTATTTGAGCAGGAACTTCAATGTTCCTTTATAACTCCTTTAGCAGAAACTTTATACTACTAGTAGAAAAGCTTTGAAAAGAAAGGAGATAGGATCCTGTGATACCAAGTGCAATGGGAAAACAAACAAACAAAAATTTGCATGGATAAAAGAATGGTTCTTTATGACTAATGTTCCAGAGCAGCAAAGGCAGCTTCACAATGGACTGTAAAAGCACTCATCTTTTTCTATCCCCCAATTAATTACTTTCATAGTAAGACAACTGCAGTGACTTCAGTGGAACTATTTCTGACTAAGGCACATCTAAGAACAAAACTGGATCTTTCACTCTCTATTACTCCCATTCATGCCTACATTTTAAAAAAGAACTGGAAGCTCCTTTTTGATCTCATCATTCAGTAATTAAGTTTTTTAGTTAAATGGATAGAGGCAGGATAGCTATAAAATAATTTTAATATCTATTATAGTGCAATTTATGTTCTGTTTTAATCTATCTGAATCTTACACAGTACAGCACAAAATAGATTTCCTTATCTGATGCCCTTATTAATGTTAATTATAATAAATGCAAGTCATTCCTACTCCTATGGCATGTGGGGGGAGGATACATATATTTTTAGTAAATGAAAACAGATTCATTATTCCTTTGCAGTGATTCTCTCAGTAAAGACTTGGGACAGGGTTTGGAGATAAAACTTACTAGTATGGTAGAGATTTAAAGTAATACAGGTGATAATATTCATGTCACATTCTGTGGCTGCTGAAGTGTTAATGTAAGTCAGATCACTGTAGGGATGGATGTCAGTGGCCAAGCACCTGGAATCTATTAGCAATTGGCTCTCTGCAGGTATGTGGAGGATATTCTCTTCTTTTGTTCATTTAATTAATCTCAAATCAAGAATTCATCATTAATTAATTTCATTTAAGAACTTTTAGTACTACATGGCACCCTTGGAGCCAATGCCTAAAACCAAAGTTCACAAAATTTAAAATACATGTTAAGGAGACTTTGACATGACATCTGCTCAACTCTTCTTGGCACTATTTTTTTTAACCTACACATCCTCTATGAAAATAGATGTATTTAGTAATAATGGAAAAAGTACAAGGTAAAATAGTAAAACTGGTATGAGAAAAAATTTTAAAATGAGTATTTTGTCCACAAGCTTTGTCTCTGATACTCATCTTAAAAGAATTTTAAACATATTGCAGTAATAGGGAAGAAAAATTTAGCAATATGAAATAGAATTCACTGGCTTTTTAAGATAACTTTGAAATGACCATGGAAATTTTGTGTAAATATTTTGTGTGAAGGTGCAAATATGTTAATGACAGTATGCTTCATCAAGAGATTTTTCTTTATGTGTACTAGCAAATACCAGTCACTTGTGTTTAACACACAATAAGAAGCCAACCTACAAAGACAGAATACTGCTGAGATGGTTAAATATGAAATAAAAATTCTCCCAGTCTTCTGCAAAAATACTTAATTTTAAAGTATAGAGCAAATGAGGGTCTGTGTGTATCTGAACTCAACAACTGAGCATTTGCAAGGCTGGATTTCTAAATATCTGTGCTAAATCAATACTGTTCTTCATCTCTGTGCACAACTCCCAAAGAGAGGAGTAGCAGTGGATAGAGGACAGCATAGGGCAGTAGGATCCATTTAAATCTTGCTCCACACAGCATAACTATTAAATCCTGGCTTCAGTAAAGTCTGTGCAGAAATTCTTGTAAACTTCAGCTCATTCACGATTTCAGACAAAGTGTAGAATTGTAATTTGAATTAAACCTAGGATAAATTCTTGCCCCAGGTTACTATTTACCAGCTCACAGATGAGTATTGCCCATTGTAAACACACAGATTGCATGGATAAATGAGCTCTGTTCCCTGGTCACATCTGAATTCAGTGAACGTTATTCACCCCCAAAGTAAAAGGAGAGTTTGTATGTGCCAGTCCCTGGACTGGTTTAGAGAGAAAGAAGTATATCTCTAACTGTGCAAATCTCTCATGCAGAATATACATCTTGAATCCAAACATGCTAAAATTAGGGGAGAGGCTGAAGTATTTCTGGTATAAACATTCAGGACAATCAGTATTTTCTCTTTTGCTTCGGTCATTTGCCATGGCTAAGCTATTCAAAAGTAGTACTTACTTCATATTTCTAGTTTCTCAGAGTAAATATAATCTGAAACATCTGGAAAATCCTTACACGCTAGTCATGCTGAAGTAATGCTCAGGGGGGTATGAGCATGCTTACTGGCTCGAGCAATGGTTTGGATCCCTGTCCTCTGAATTAGATAGAAAGCAAAATGCAGTATCAGTTTACTTAACCCCACAGTATCCAGACCAATACAGTAAACACTTTGCAAAATACATTGCACACATTTGACTCCTATTGAAATGAGACTAAGCAAACTTCAACCATTTGGTTCCAATAATTTTTTTCCCCATTTCACAACAAACAGTTAATTTGAGGTAAAACTGAATCTTCTGAGATCCATCTACAAGAAAAGCTGCTGTTCAAATGCAATGTGAAAACTGGTATGGCAACATGAAAGTTTAAAAACAATGGCAAAGTTCTCAAGAGCTAAACTGGAAGCAAGATTAATGTGTGATTTCAAAGGAAATAGCTGTTCCTAAGAACCATCTCTCTTTTCTGAACGCAGCGCTAAGAACGGCAGGATTTCGGAATGGCAGTTTGGGAAGCCGACCTAGTGCTCCTTTTAGAAGCAATGTTTATCAGCCAACTGAGATGGCAGTTGTGCTAAATGGTGGGACTGTAAGTATCAAAATGTGATGATTAAGAAATCTTTGATATGCACTGATATATACAACCCCTACTAAATGAAAAAGCTGCTTTTAGCTTATCCACAGCAGGGGGGAAAGCTATCAGTGAAAATCCAGGCAGCAAGTATGCATGTCATGCTTCCCTTCCCTCTAGGAAAGATGTTATTAAAAGTATTTTGCACTTCTTTACATTTTGCAGTGTAGCTTAAGTGAACCAAGTTCTTTGATGAGACTACATACCCAGTGGCCCTTCAAATTACATTTATGTTAAGGTATTTAACAGAACTATTAATTTCTATCCTGATTTTTTTTCAAGATGATGTGAGCTGCACAAATGTTTGCAAGCCAGTACTTTACATAAGAATAGTTCTTGCAGAAAGCAGTGGTCTGCCACATATCATCCATTTTCTTGTAAAATGTATGTAATTCTTTGTAAGTTACAAATATGTACATCTCTGGCAAAGGCATTCATAGAAGAGACTTTTTACATGTTAGTAATATTCACCAAATGTTTTACTGTTAATAGCACTGATTTTTCTTTCTTAGACAATAGTTTGGCAATGCCATTCTTAGATAGACCTGTTTTTCTGCAGCCTGGTTGTAAGAATGGCTTAGTGATCTGATGTTGAGCAGACTTTCTGAATGTTTTTCACATGTGTAATTTGCACTTGAAGACATTTCATACAGCAGGTATACTGTTGAAAAAGATTTTTCACCCCCATATTTTTCATGCATACCTACATGCTTCTTAAAAATCTACCCATGAGCCAGTTTATACTCATGTGAGTTGGGTTTTCTTTCTTTTGAATCATGAGCTGATTCCATAACTCAACCTCTACATTTAAAACCAAATAAGGTGAACTGATGCAGGTCTCTCATTGTTTTTAAATAAGTAAAGTTTTTGTTGATTTTAGTGAACAATAGGGACTAGATGCAAGGATTCTCCTGTGGGAAACATCAACATAAAATGAAAAGGCTTGTGCTTTGCTGTCAGTAATTAACAGCATCCTTCTGATGCTCGGATTCATCTATGCCTGTGTTTTCTGATAGCAGACTATGCAGCTCAGGGAAAAGGCAGTTTAAGGATAAGCTAGAGATTTGTTTTGGGATTTTTGTTTGTTTGCTTTGTTTTGAGGAGGATACAGAGCTTAATGGAGAACATCAGACAGTAAAATGCATATATATAGTCATGGCTTTTACAGAGAGGTAAAGGTACTGTATGGGTGGAAGATAAGTTTCCTTGTATCACTTTGCTCTGGAACAACTGCCTGGAAAGCTGTTGTGTACATGTAGCATGATAACACTGATTTTTGCACAAACTAGAACTCTCAGTTATGGGTTTATTATCCTTATTTCCAGATACCAACTGCTCCGCCAAGTTACACTGGACGACACCTCTGGTGAAAGGCTGTAGGCTGTAGAGAATAAGAATCCTTGTTGCAGATGTTGTTCCCTGGCAGTGTGTCTTTGAGGGAGGAATCCGTAACAGTACCAGAACAAAGCAACAAAACATCCAGGAGCTTTTGAAATCCTGCAGAGGATTTTGTTGAAATGTGAACTGATAATTGCAAAAACAAAATTGTAAAACTGAAGCTAAATCTAATTTAAAATAGAAGTAGGCACACCTTAAATTGGAAGAGGGAGATATTGTATTCTGAAATGTAAGGTATTCTCTTGTCTGTAAGTAGTGTGTGAGGCAAGCCTGTTTTTGGTGGTTGCCAGTTGCTTGCATACTACCCTCCTCTCACCTAAACGGAATTCATGTTGCCACAAGAGATTGCCACTACAGGGTGAAAACAATGCAGGATTTCCTTCCGTTTTGCTCCTTTTCCCTTCATTTCAAACATCATGAAAAGTACCTTGTTTGCTTCATTATCTAGCCGCACTGTACAGTCACATCACGCGTAGTCAGGCATTGTCACTCTGTGGCAACTGAATTACCATTACCCTGTAGGCTGACACTTGAAAAAGCTGGCGTAGGAAACGCAGTTCTGGAGGGATGAAAGGTCTGTGCATGTTTCATGCGAGTTATGGAGCTTCTTGAGGCAGAGAGACAAAGTGTGGGCCCGGCACAGAGGCAGCTCTCCTGGGCCACGGGGGATCCGCTCCCTGTTATTCCAGGCACAGCCCCGAGCTGTGCAGCCTCGTGTCTCCTGCAGCCGTAGAGTGAAACTGGAGGGGTGTGCTTCTGCTGGAGAGAGAACAGGGCTGGAGTTTGCCAGGAGCTCGTTGGGTGTGAGGGTGGATTAAAGGCAATGGCCGCGCTCCAGGCCCAGCGCTGGGGCAGCTCTGGTGGGGCCGGGGCCTCCCTTCCCACCCCTGCTCACAGGAGTCATCCCCTTGGCTGCTGCTGGTTGTGCATTTACACGTGGTTGTGCATTTTAGTGCCTAGCGAGTAGAATCTCCGTGCTGGAGGTGGTTTGTTGTTGTTTTTGTTTCTTTAAGGTGGTTTCTTCCTTACTCCTCCCCTCCACTTCTTTTGAGTTGACATAAGGCAGACTTTCTCAAAGCTTTTTATCTTTGTTTTCTCCAGGTAATTGAAAAGGTTCCCATTGCCCATTGTTTGTGCCATGGTTTTTCATTATGTTTAAGCAATCATTCCTTTATTTAACATTTAATACATATCAAACATTGAAAGCATCATTGTATCCTCACTGTTTGGCCAATGTTAATCTTAGCTTTCCTCAATACTAAAAGCTAATTGTTTTTACTTGAGGGCATAGGAAATATATAACATTTAAACCTTGCATATGCTGTAATGAAAATATATATTTTCAAACTAAAAAAATATAATGTACAAATAACTGAATAGCTTAGTAGCTTCACAGAAAGAAGTTACTTGCTGTATACTGCAAAAGAAAGACAAGCTTTTTATTTTTCAAGAGTCTTCCCGATTCGTCATGTACCTCCATTTCTACTGAATTAGGAACCTAGTCCTGCAGACTTGTACTCCCACCAGTAGTCCCACCAACACCAGTAGGCCTACATACAGGTACACAGGCTGCAAGACCAGTCCCTAAGTGTTGCACACAGATATATATGTATATATATGGAAAAAAGATATATTGCCATTCTTGCCATGATCATCTTATGGGGTTTTATTTTAAAGCCCTTCTCTTCCAGAAGCAATGCTTTTCTGTTACGCATGAGCAAAGGAGTATGTTAGTTCCCCCCTGCCCTTCCCTCCTCAAGGTAAAGGAAGCATGTGCTTGTTTAGGGATTGCTTATTTTATTTTGTAAGTGACTCGATGACCTTAGTAACCAAGTAGGGTAGGGGTGGTGTTGCATGCTATCCAGTGACTTATTTTAAGTAAAGCTTTGATCAAATAACATAGTATTTAAGATAATGATAGTTACCCAGAAGATGCATCATTTGGAATGCTAAAAACCTTATTACCATCACTTGCCTGCAGAATTTTCCTTTTAAAAACCTATTAAAAAACCTTCACAAAACTCAATTGTAAAAACATATAAGATGACCATGGCATAAATGGTAAGACAGCTTTCTTTTTAAAAAAAGTTTAACATGCTACAACCAAGATTTATGAATTATAGTAAACATTTTACAGACCTTGGACAAAATCTGTACAAGACACAGTTAACTTAAGGAACATTTTTAAAATATTTTTCTAGAGGTGACTGAATGGATAAATAGAGTTCCCAATCCTGCTCCTGCTG